GTGACAGTGAGGATGGGTGACTAGTGACAGTGGGGGGACTAGTGACAGTGAGGGGGGTGACTGGTGACAGTGAGGGGGGGTGACTGGTGACAGTGAGGGTGGGTGACTGGTGACAGTGAGGGGGTGTGATTGGTGCCTACCTGTCTCTCTGCTTCCTCTCCCAGGCTGCTGCTCCTTCCCCTCCTGGCTCTGTGTGAAAGGAGTAAACAGGAAGTGAGGTCACTTCCTGGCCCCGCCTCTCCCATCACACAGAGCCGCATGGGAGAGGAAGCCGGAGACCTGGCAGAGAGCAGGTGAAGCTGCCAGGTCTCATGGGGGGGGGATGTGCAGAGCGGTAGGTTGTGGGGGCCCCGCGCTGCATCAGGGGCCCCACAACCTATCAATGAAAGTTTTATTTTATTATTTTTTGCCGTTCCAGTTGGAGAGATCTCTGATCTCTCCAGCTGGAACAAGGCTGTGCTGCCGGGCCCCTGACTGCCTCGGGCCCTCGGTCCGTGACCGATATGCCCGAGTGGTCAGTCCGCCCCTGGTGCTGGGCAAATACCCGTTAAACAAAACCAGTTACTTGAACATGTCAATTAATTGAACATTATTTGTTCAAAAATACTTTCATTACTAGAAACATAGAATGTGACGGCAGATAAGAAACATTCGGCCCATCTAGTCTGCCCAATTTTCTAAATACTTTCATTAATCCCTGGCCTTATCTTATAGTTAAGATAGCCTTGTGCCTATCCCACGCATGCTTAAACTCCTTTACTGTGTTAACCTCTACCACTTTAGCTGGAAGGCTATTCCATGCATCCACTACCCTCTCAGTAAAGTAATACTTCCTGATATTATTTTTAAACCTAGAATGTATTTCCTAGTTAAACACTGAGTTTAGTGTGTTGGTTTAACCACACATCTGTTAATACAGGCACTATATAAAGATTTCTTTAATATATTCTTAAAATGAATCAATGCTTTTCTGAGGAAAGAAATCACCTAGGGAACTAAAATGAGAGTTACTGAACATCCGACAAGCTGTTCCTTAAAATTAATAAGAGGCATGTGTCACTTAATGACATTATTCACTGCAGGTATGGAAGAATGTGTCCCTAAAGTCACAGACTGGTGGAATAAGAATGTAATAATTGTCAGCTGGAAAAGGAGATGGATTTTTGTAGTAGAAGAATAGATACAATTAAGTTCTCACCCTGCAGATCTTCTGTACATCAATTATATCAAAATCCCCTGGCAGTTATTTTAAAAGAGCACTATGGTCAGCATGACAACTTCACCTAAATCAAGGTACCCTGTTTTATGAATGGTAAGATAATGATTTTTGCCATGTGTTCAAAGTGTCTATGAATTTATACAATACATTCTAATACAAATGTATCATTTAAATGGAATAAGATTTTGATGTTGATTATAACTATTTGTGCCAATAGAATTCCTAATCAATTTAATGTTTCTTTAGTTGCAACAAAAAGGAAGTTAAATCACAAAGAAAATCTCCATATCATGCATAAATTATGTCTGCGGGCTTTGCAAAATTAGTACAAGATGACTTTATTTCTGCAGCCAACAAAAAGCTACAATTGATTTTAAAGCATTCAGTAACTTGTGTACATATACAGTTGTGGTTAGTGAAAAATGGCAAATAGTTTAAAGCCTAGGATTACAAATATTTTAAAGCCTAATCTTTGCAAGCATTGTTGGATTTAAGAGACCCGTGAAATGTCTCAATGTCGTCAATAAAGAAGAAAGATAAAGAAACAGTGTAAGAGTTTAAGGTTGCTTTGTTTGTTGCAGTTTTTATACTGTTTTGAATTAGCGAGAAATGGAAAACAGCCAATAAAATAAACCATCCTGTATAGCAAAAGATGATTGCTAAGTACCAACTAAAGGTAGGGGTTTTGTGAACAGATCAATATTTTAGTTACTTATAAAGACAATGTGATTATCAAATATATGACCATCGAATCTTATTTTCTTCAATGTCAGTTAATGTAAGACTATTTTCACAAAAGACTATGAGAGGACATTTAAAAAAAAAAAGATTTAATTGCATTTTTTTTTTTTACAGTATTAGCTTGAGAGTGGCAAGTTGTGAAAGAAAATGGAAATCCAGGGAGACTGTTATCTATACAGTGGGGCAAAGAAAAATGTTTTAAAAAAAAACACGATGACCTCCAAAACACTCTATAAACATAATGTAGCAATAACAAAGTTTTTATTTTTTTAAAGATACATTAGAAAGAAAAAGACAACTGGAAATGGAAAATGTGGCTGCTTTAAACAGAAATTACATGTATGTCACTCATTGTGGAATGCTGGGTGATTTATTTGTGTTGTCGAGCTGCATGTCTCACCTACTTTTGTCTATTTGACACTGATTTGCGAAGAGGCAGCGGCAATATTCAGGTAAGTATGTTTTACTTATTACATTTAACCCCTTGTGGACCGATGACTGTTCAGGACCGTCATCAGAAACATCCTCTTGAGGACTAATGATGGGTCTGAACCGTCATAATGTTAATTATTACTTACCCGATCACCACCGTCCCCACACTGCTCCCGGTCTGGGGGGACTGCCTGACAGCCCAAGTAGTCCCCCCTTAGCAAATTAGGCCTCTGCTGGCCATGTGATTGCTCTAACAGAGCGGTCACATGGCCGCAATAGGCGTCCAGGCATCTCCCTGCAGGGGGACTGCCTGAACTGACAGGCAATCTCCCTGCATCTGTTAAATAAAAAAGAATAATAATGTTTATAAGTAAATAAAAATAAAATATATGTATGTATATATTTTATATTTTATATAGATAGATATATATATATATAGAGAGAGATATATAAAATAACCTGTACATGGGGGGTACTGTTTTACTCAGGAGACTTTGCTGAATACAAATATTAGTGATTTAAAACAGTAAAATGTATTACAATGATCAGATCATCAGTGACCGTGAAGTTTTTTGCATGTTTCACACACAAATGGCGCTTTCACTGATGATATTGTTGTGATACGTTTTACTGTTTTGAAACACTAATATTTGTGTTCAGCGAAGTCTCCCGAGTATAACAGTTACTCAGTTGGCTACTAGAGGTGTGCACACGCTGCATGAAGAGGCTGAACACTCTCTAAAGAGATGATATGGATTAGCACAGCGCAGCATTTTGCTGTTCATGCGCAATAGCCTCCCAATGCTTTCCTATAAGAAAGCATTTGTTTGTCTGAGATCATCAAGACTGAGAGAGAGAAAAGGTTAGTTTAAACACCTTATAACTCCACAGAGATGGACGCAGCCACCTAAGTATGTATTTTAGCACTATGGTGTTCATTTAATGTTGTGGTTTTGGAGGCATAGATGCCCCACTTTACAGCATAGAACATTTCTCAGAAATAGCAATGTTCATATTTGTATAAAGACACACACCTAGTGACTGTTACCATAGTCACCAGAGGCCCTTTCCTTTTAGGACCTTTTGTATTTTCAAACAACTTCATGTTCTGATGTCATCACGTACAGCTAATTCTTACAGAGAAGCAGTGGGTTAAAGCTTCTCCATGAGAAGCACAACATTTACTATGTCTCCAATACTTGTCTCTGATAAGCATTGAACTGGACATAGAGTACGCATTCTAATGTTATATACAAACACAAACACATATACGCACATATATTTTTTTAAGACTGCAAAGTTAAAATTTGCATTCTAGGTCTCCAGCCCCTCTCAGATTGCAGTGAGAAGGTAGTTAACTCTTCTTCAGTCTTGCCACAGCTCATCTCAGCTAATCCATTTCACATAGGGAAGTGAATGAAGAGTGTGGAGATGCTGAACACAGTGCAGCACTGAGATAGGAAACACCTCAAGTGATTGCCATTATAG